GCTGCGTCCAGGAGCTCTCTACGACAACGGAAGCGAGCTAGTCCTTCCTGACACAGTTCGCGATGCTATACACCTAGTCAAAGCCCTTGGTGAGCGGTATTTGTGGGTGGATTGTCTGTCTGTTATTCAAGATGCAGATTCAGACACTATCAACATCACTTTGCGGGCTATGGCTCGCATATACGCAAGTGCCGACTTCACCATCGTTGCAGCCGGTGGTGAAGACGCAGGCTACGGTCTGAGGGGTATTGGAGGTCCCTCGATGGATCGAGGTCCTACCTCCTGGTCGTCTCCTCTATGGGATGCTTATCCAGAAGATACGAAATGGGCGACTAACGCAGGCTACGGTCTGAGGGGTATTGGGGGCCCCTCGATGGATCAAGGTCCTACCTCCTGTTCGTCTCCTCTATGGGATGCTTATCCAGAAGATTCGAAATGGGCGACTAGGGGCTGGACATTCCAAGAATCGCTGTTCTCACGCCGTCTCCTCATTTTTCAAGATACTGTGTCCTGGATATGTGGGCGCTGTGAGTGGCGAGAGGGGATTAACGAGTTCATAGGCGCGAGGGACAGCCACAATTCCCAAGACATCACGCCTTTAAAGATGCGAGACACTACTTGGCCTGAAGAGCGCTACCATCTCGGCGTCCCAATGGGCATGATGGCTTTGATCCATATGGTGCCATCTCTCGGTCGGTGGGGAATGCTCGTAGAAAACTTCTCTTCGCGAAATCTAACCTACGAGAAAGACGCTCAAGCAGCATTCGCAGGCGCTACTGAGGTTATGGACACTACTTTCCCTGATGGTCTACTTCATGGCATGCCGAAGTTCTTCTTTGACATCGCATTGCTCTGGCTACCTAAGGAGTCTGTATGGAGACGCGAGGGTGAACCTAGTTGGTCGTGGACAGGCTGGAAGAACGGAAAAATAGACGGCCTGTCTGCTTGGTATACGTTTTACGCAAGTATTCGACGCGATACCGGCGATGCATCGGCGTGGGCCTTCATGGCGACCCTGAGTCCTGTGGCAGAGTATCGGATAACGAACGCAGTAGACGGAGTTAGTTCGAAGTTCAATGGTTTCTACCGATATCAAGCTCTTCGGGAACAGCCCCATGTTGCGCTGCCCACGGGATGGAGTCGCCATTACTACCCAGTTGGCGACTACTTTACGAGTACTGCTTCTCCGCGAGATACGAAATATCCCTTCCCACTTCCTACCGTCGATCCGGCTGAGCGACGTATACACGTTCAATCTTCCCCCGTTCTTCACTGCATCACTCCATGTGCACATCTGACTTTTGGGCATATGGTAATTTGCGACAACACGCATCGTAAGCTGATCAGCTTGTGCAACGACGGGGAGACAGTCGGTAATCTTGTCTTGATGTGCGATACTATCGACCATCAGCCTCAGTATGGCAGTGTTTGTGAACTCGTCGCTCTCACTGAAGCCGAGACCTCTCGACCAGTGAAGACATGGCTAAAGGAACAAAGGCTCCTTTTCTGGAAGTTGACGAAGGATGATTACGGGAAAACATCGTTCTACAATGTCATGTGGATTGAATGGGTTGAAAATGTCGCTGAAAGACGAGGATTAGGTGTTGTACTGAAAGATTCTTGGGATGCATTACAACCCGAGATCAAAGAGTTCAATCTGGGTTGACTCACATCATGATAACAAATGGTCACCTCATCAACGGAAGAACTGAACACCCTACAGCCTTCATGGACGTTAGTTCGCCTATCCCGCATGTTTCCTTCTTCATGTAGGCTACAAAACTATCCAGATTATTAAAGGAGGCACGGGTGTTTATGTAGCTAGCTACTCTTCCATAACCAACTTCTCTTGATCCACCAAAGACATCATACACCACTCCTTCCTCAGTCCTCTCACCACAGTGTGAAGAACCAATGAAAAAGCCATCAAAAATTATGCCAGAGACCGCCCACAAAGAGCCATCAGACAAGATCAGTCCCGCAATGGTGCCATGCAGCTGATCTAAGCCGGTCTTTGCGAATGCGTGTGCTCGCAGACCCTGACTGGTAAGTATGGAGAACAAAAGGGAAGCGATGCGAGCTTATATAGACAATGGGTTCAGAAGATAGACAGGTTTAGTGGGAAGGCAGTAAGATGCATATATCACGGGTCTGAGGATGCCTAACAAATCGGAAAGGATGGCGAGACGGATTCAATAGTGTGTCCGGAGTTGTGGGGATGTTCAACAGTGTAGGCAGAAGCTGACATGCATGGGCACGTGATCGTAGCAGCCTATTAGGCTTTATTCCGCACTTCATTGCACCCCTTTCACTGGTTTGGGCATGCTTTGGTTCATCCTTTTTGGCCAAAGATAACATCTACGTGTTGTAGACCTGCACGCATCCCACGTTACTGTCCCTCTGCCAGCCTCAAGGCTTCCATCCTACTCGTACTTTGTGGATCCAGATATGGTCTCTCGCCCAAGCTGACCACTCTATACCCCTTCCTCGATCCTTGGCCATCGGTATCGTACGTCGCTGTGTGTAGTACGCTTCTGTTGTCCCAGATGGCTACGTCATTTGGGTTCTGCCATCTATGTCTGATCTGCAGATCGTGATTCTCGGTGATTAGCTGGAGGAACCAGGCTTTAGTACGCTCTGATTCCTCTGAGCTCAGCTCATTGATACGCTGGACGTGGTGGCCAACGCTGTAGAGTGACTTCCATCCCGTGACGGGGTTCGTGCGGATGCAGGGGTGGATAGCGGTCAGAGAGTTGCCAATGTTCTCCGGCGCACCTCGTGCAGCGGTATAAACGGGAAAGTTGTTTTCTTTCGCCGCGCGATTAAAGTCTGGTTGAGCGTATGTTGCGGTGAGAGATTCGAAGAACTTCTGATACGGTTTCGAGAGGCGGTCGTAAAGGTCGTACCCTGATGCCCATAGAGTATCTAGAGTATTCTTAGCCTAGTCAACGGGGGTATGACTACTTCTCGCACTCACCTCCACCTGACTTTGGTAGCTGCGTCATTCTCAGAATTGCATAGTCGCTTGGTACCGGCTCGAAAGTGATATCGCTGTGCCAGCCATGCTTGCCAGTCTGTGACCGCTCTTTGAAGAGTTGCTTCGCCAAATCCGAGCTAATGACACTGATCTCGTTGTCATTGCCTCCAAGACGGTTCCCCGCGTTTCTAACTGGGTGGATATGCAGCTTGGATGTTTTTGGTTTGCCAGAAAGCTCGCCGAGGCGCTGGGCCAGCTCTTTTTGAAGTTCATCATCCAAATCATCCTGCTTGCGGAAGTAGACAACACCGCGCTGAGAAACTTTCCAAAATGTTAGTGTTCAGTCATTGGGAAAACATTGAGTGTGGCTTACTTGTGATTGCCAGGTCGCGTATCAAATCGTCAGAGTTTGGCGCGCGCAACCATTCCTTCAGACTTACATCCACAAATTCGCGGCCGATGACTGGTGTAACGTCGAAAGACTCGAAGACATCCAGAACGCCTTTGGTCTTTAGAGGCTCGCGAGGATATCCAGGCTGCGTCTTGATGCCTATGTCCTCAATGGTAGTGGTGGTCAAGGTGTTCGTAGCCATGATCAACGATGCTGATTTGCGCTGCTACAGGGTATTTCGCATTCCGACAGAGCAGTGTCACACTTATCTCTTACTCGCGTTCGCCACATCTACTATCCCTGAGCGCATGTGCATCGAAAGACTGATGAACAGTAGCTCGTCGGCTTGTGCATTGGCATCGTAGCATCATCGCATGGATACTATGGTGCAATCATTCTCGGCACACTTATGATAGTGGCGGTAGTCGCTTCCTGCAACCACAATCTTCCATGATGCGCGATATCGACGAGGTGTTGCGGGGTTGAGGCTACGACATGTGGGGGTGGAATGGCGTGCTGCTTGGCAGAGTCCCATTCACAGCTGGCAATGACATCGATCCGGAAATAATGCGTCGCGACCTTACCGCGCATGCAACGGCGGATGTAGTATTAGTATCGCAGAGAGGTGCTTCGTCGTTCTTGCCTTCCTACCTGTAGGGTGGAGTGAGCACACTAGTCCTCGATTAGTTTGGACCGAACGCGACGCGACCGCGACTTCCCAGCCCCTTGCTCTTTCGAGCTGCATCATTCATGATAACATCGCTGGCATGTGCACAGGAACTCTCAATTATCTCAATAAAGACATCACTACACTTACAAGGTACTCAGATTGTTAAGTGCAAATTTCGCGTAGGCTATTCCAGCAGTGTCTGACGACATCTTCGCCATTCTCGCAACATACCTCGCTACGATGCACCGGCGATCAAAGACGGATCCTCCTCTCAAAACACTGATATCGACCCTTGTATATGACAACCGAAGTACACCAACAGCGTTCATGCCAAGCCCACAGAGCCGAGGGTGGACTTTTCGGAACGAATCTGCCAGCATGGATGTCGTATCCTTCCGATGAACGGCTGTTGTATCGATGTTCAGAGACTCCGACTGATCTAAGGCGATGGTGGAAGACCCGCTATCGTGTGACTGAACTTTCGCATGCGGTCAATTTGTAGCTGCACTGTCTTTTTCCCTACGCCAAATTGGGGTTCACATGTGGCCGCGGAAAGCATTTTCTCGACTCAGATCGCAGGGTCATGGCGGCATTAAAGTGTATCATCAACTGACCTATCAGCGTGTCTCTGTCTGGATACGTATGCATTTTCAATGAAGGTCCTCGCATGCTATCATTGGTATCGAGTTTCTGTCGCATAAACGTCATTCCTTATCTATGGCTTTCGTAACCAAGTCTCTCGGCTTTCAGAGCCTTGTCTAGACGGTAAGGTTCTTCATTTTAGCGCATGTTGTCACATGTACCCGCGGTTGCATCATCTGTCGATACAGTCCCTAATCATGGACATGTCCGGTCCCTATAACACTCCCTCGGCACATTCGATCATCAGTACCGACCGATTGGTCTAAGCCAGATCAAAACGAATCACGATAAGAAGTCCGCTTTCATCTATCCTTGCAGACATGGCTGCATCTACACCAGTAGAAAAGCAGGCCCCCATCACCGAAACCGCTGACCCAAGGTCGTCACACGGCTCGAAGTCACCACCGCCACAACATGGCTCACACGAAGACCATCCGTTCAGCGACCCGGCAACGGCTCAGCGCTGGCGACAAATATACAATGATGCCGAGTACGAAGGACGCCACCGGTTCGACCCAGCGTATACATGGGAACCTGAAGAAGAGAAACGTCTAGTCAAAAAGGTGAGTAAACCAATTCATGGCACTGATCAGAACTGACTTTCTCATTGTAGCTGGACTGGCGAATAGCTCTCTGGGCATGGATCATGTTCATCTCGATGGAGTTGAATCGCAGGAACATCAACCGAGCAATCTCGGACAATTTGCTGAAAGACCTTGGTGTGTGCCATCTACATGAAGGACAAAAGATGGTGGATTACTAACTTGGACCAGGAATGAATACGAACGACTTCAACTATGGTCAGACTGTAAGCTTGATACAGTTAGTCACTTTCGGAACTCTCGTTGACGTCAAGCTAGATCTTTCTCGGTTCATTCCTCTTTGCCGAACTTCCCAGCGGCCTGATAAGTAAGAAGCTTGGTGCTGATCGGTAAGTCCATCCGGCCTACTCACCGTCTCGTCACGCTTCAAGTACTGACCTTATGACAGGTGGATCCCAACCATCATCTGCATATGGTCCATTGTCAGCGCCTCACAATGCGCAATGAAGACTAAAGCCCATTACTTCGCCATTCGATGCATCCTTGGTCTTATCATGGGCGGCTTCATCCCAGACATCGTCCTATGGTTGACATACTTTTACAAATCCACTGAACTTCCACACCGACTGGCGTGGTTCTGGACTGCGCTGAGTACTTGTAATATCGTCGGCTCGCTGCTTGCAGCAGGTATCTTGCAGATGCGAGGACTCCATGGTTGGGGAGGTTGGCAGTATCTGTGAGTCCCTTCTACTGTACTTCAACTTGCACCATCCCTAACACAGACAGGTTCTTAATCGAAGGCATCATGACTCTAGCCATCGGCATCCTCTCATTTGGCCTCATGCCCCCTGGCGCCTGCCAAACGCAACACTGGTTCCGCGGCAAAAACGGCTGGTTCACCCCTCACGAAGAGTACATCCTCGTAAACCGCGTCCTCCGCGACGATCCCTCAAAAGGCGACATGAACAACCGCCAAGCAGTTGGCCTCCCGCTCCTCTGGAAAGCAGCGTGCGACTGGGAACAATGGCCCCTCTACATCATCGGCCTGACTGCTTACGTCCCACCTAACCCACCGCAGAACTACCTCTCGTACATCCTGCGCCAACTCGGCTTCTCCGTCTTCGAAGCCAACTTACTCGCCATACCCAGCCAGTTTCTCTACGCCATCCAACTCCTCGCCGTGACCTGGCTATCCGAGAAGCTCAAAGAACGCTCCATGATATCCAGTCTATCCAACATCTGGATTTTCCCCTGGCTCGTCGCTCTTGTCGTTCTACCTGCGGACGCAAATCCCTGGGTCAGATACGCGCTCCTCACAGGTCTACTGTCCTATCCGTACTGCCACGCCATCCTTGTAAGCTGGAACGCGAAGAACTCGAATTCCGTCCGTACACGCGCCGTCTTCGCGGCTTTCTACAACATGTTTGTGCAGTCTGGCAATATCATCGCTACCAATATTTATCGCGATGACGATCAGCCGTTGTATCGCAGGGGCAATAGGATATTGCTAGGTATTTGTGTGTATAACGTTTTCTTGTTCTATGCGGTAAAGGCGTTTTACATTTGGAGGAATCGTGTAAGAGATGGGCAATGGAAAGCTATGACCAAGGAAGAGCAGGAGGATTATATTTTCAACACGAAGGATGAGGGGATGAAGAGGCTGGACTTCAGGTTTTCCCACTGATGAGAAAGCGCATGGATTCGTCGATGCCAGCGCCCGATTCCATTCACTCAGCATTCATGGCTTCCCCGTTATCTTTGCGCCTTGGTCACGATGAATTGCGATTGGTTGATAGCTTATAACGTGGCCGGCGCAAATGGCGCTCGATAGCAAACATATCTGACGGAAATTACTAATATTCAGTCTACGTAGGCCTTCCTAGGTGACCGCGTACAGACCGCCAGTGTGGATAATCTTGGCTTGGCGCAAACACTTTACTCATGAGCATAATAAATGTCTTCGTGACCGAGTCCGCCGACACTCCTACACCTCACACTTCCGATTCTAAATCTAAGATGTCTTTCTCTTCTACACCCCGCATTGGTGGCGCCTTCCAAGATATCTACAATAGCCCTCACTACTCTGGCGCCGGCAGTGGCAGTGGCGCCGGCAGCGGCAGCGGTAACCAGAGCACGGTCTTCAATCCGCCTCAGTTCCCTGCTCCAGCCGCGACAACTATCAACACTTCGGTCGCTCCGAGTGTGAGGCAGCGTCTCATCGAACTCCTTCATCCGTTCCGGGGCGACTTTATCAACTTCGTCGCTACTGAAGCCACAGTTCATGAAAGGAAGGTCCTCACTCTCGCCGGTAAGTGTATTCCATGGCCTTCTCTCACCTGAATTTCTCTTCTCTTTGCCTGAATGCAAACATTTCTTACTACAAATAACTAACAATTCTATCAGGGAACCTCGCTGCGATCATCCACCACAAGGAGGCTCAATACTGCGAAGAGATCAAGGCGAATCATGTCCACGTCTTGAGTCGCAATCTTCAAGCCCTCAACGGTCAGGCGTGTATCAGTATCATCGTTCAGGCAGGTGGCGTGGCACATAAGGTCGTCAGTGTTGAGGTTGAGAACAGAGACACTGCCATTGATGCGCTCACCACCAAGGTGGATAACATGATCGGAACTTTGTTCTTGGGAGCTTAGGCAGCGGATAGGGCAAGAGTGGTGATAGAGGATATAACAGGAAGCGACGTTGGCTTATACAGACGATGGGCTGGGGGAATAGGTAGACCCAGTGAAAAGGCAGCAGGGAAAATTTACTTGCTTAAGTCACCACTGTACAAAATTTGCTTTTCACGGTTTCATTCGTTCGCGAGGGCCTTACAATCGTACGCTGTACCCGGTGTACGACGTGGGTCTGAAGGATAACATTCCGTACTTGACGCTGTACCTGGGGTATAGCTTTGGTTTGAAGAGTACAATAGAGCTCAAGTATGGTAGAAATGACTTCCTTGTCTCCCCCGAAAGCGACATTCCAGCTTCTCAACTCCTTTGAGCAGGTGATGCGCCCTTGTCATCTCCTTCCGTCTATCTTCGTATGCGGAGTACCCTGTCACCACACCTCTAAGGTTACCTTTGGCGATGTGAAGGCGTTTCTCTTGAGCCCTTATGAGGCAGTATCTGAACTCAAAAGCCTCTTTTGCCGACGGCCACAGCTCTGGGTGGAGTTCGCGGTTCTACCGTCGTTCAGCGAGCCACTTATCTGCCTCTGCCCAGACCTGCTTTGTCGCGTCTGGCACAGTAGAGTTGTTCGCGGACTTGACACCGGCACATATGGCGTCCCATAGTGAGAATGCGGACTTGAGATCGCCAGCGAGGTTAAGTGATTGCGGGAAGTAGCGTTCTGATGCGGTTTGAATAACACGTGACTTGGTTGTCGGGGAGGTCGGATCGGCATCGCCAGTGAGAAGCTCATCGAGGTACGACTTGGCTGCTATGCTAAGCGCACAATTGTTAGGGAGAAGGAATGGAAGTCTAGGGAGCGTCAGTTTATCAGACTTGGGTTACTGTGATTCGGGACGACTAACTTCATCGCGATGACTGATATATCAGCATGTCTAGTGCAGCAGCCAGTACAGAACATCTGTGTGGCGGCCACCTCGATAATATCTCGAAGTGACTGACGGACTTTGTTGATGATGGAGTTGTAACCGAGCAAGTGTTGACTGAGAGGTCCGGTGAAGCCAATCGGTCGGTGGTGCAGAGTACCTAAGCCAGCAACACGAGACACTAGCATATTGTACTCCTTGTCGTTCGCTAGGCGGCTGTCAGCTATGCAGGACTTGGTCAAGGGCTTCCCACTTACTGCTGCCACGCATCGGTGCGCCGTTGTACATAGAGAACATATCGATGTCGGAGTTCAAGAGGCCCAGCCGTATCAGCTCGACCGCGATCACCACAGCTTCTTCGTGCTCTGGCTTGCCCTTTAGGCCAGCGATGACAGAGACAAGGACTTTACCCCATTGTGTCAGGTTATGGCTCTTGGGGTCAATGTACTCCCGTAGGGCGAGGAAGCGCCATATCGAGTTGTACAGTATCTCGGAAGTGGTAGAAAGGGGATTCTTAGTATCTTTCTTAGCGACCGATTTGGTGACGAAGTCGGAGTTTTGCAGTGATAAGATGGCTGCACCGAGAGTTCCGCAGTCCTGTCTGAGTGTTAACAATAATCTGTCAATTCGGTTGCCGCTTTGCTAACCTTATACTGCCCGACAACATCCTTAAATGTAGCTTCCTTCACGTTCCAGGTGTCAACGAGCGAAGGAGCTATGGCTTCTGATGGCTTCTCGACAGAGATGGTTGTGGATGTGCGTTTCCCATTGGGCTCTACAGGAGAGTACCAATGCGTCTGGTGCAGAGATTGGTGCCGATACCAATTATGTAAGGTGCTAGACAAAAGGTTGACAGCGGGTGTTCGAAGTGGGATCAGCTTAGAGCTGACGAGGTCCCTGTATTCTGGAGACAGGCCACCATCCATGGGAGGGACTTCGAATACCTCGCAGGTAGTGCGCCACTGGATGATGTGCGGGCTGATGAGACCTTTCGACATGTAGTGGAGGATCTCGTCTGGAAGCCTTTGACCCAAATACTGACCTGCATCGTTAGGCATCGAGCCAGAGTTCCGAGGCTCGACCTTCCCTTCCTCGGTGTAGACTGGGTGATTTTTGACGGCCAGGCGTGCTTTCTGGTATCGCGTGACGTATTCCTTGCCCGCGGGCGGGACATCATTGTTGTTGACAACCACAGAGTATCCGGACTGACCGTTGTTCATGATGGCCTTGATGGCGCCGTGCGGCTTGATCAGCTCTGCCCTGTTAGGCGCGTCGAGGATCGGGTGGGTCGGGAGGAAGGGCGTGCCGGCGAGTATGCAGGTATCGAGAAAGATGTCGTCTGAGATGTTGGGAGCGCCGACAATCTTCGAGAGGTCGGCTACGCATTTCTCTCGGCGGACGAAGCTGAAATGTCGGGCCTCGAAGTCCCAAGATGTTATGATTTTGGAGCATTCGAAGATGAGGATATCTGACGAGCCGTAGACGGCGTGGACGTATTCGTGTTTCTCGAGATATGCCAACTGTCGATAATTAGTCACTGCGAACAGAGATTCCAGAGATGCTTGCCTGGGCCCAGGCGCTGTATGGCGCGACTGTCCAACGAATGTTGCGCTCGGTCAGGGTTGACTGTAGGGCGCGGAAGAGGTCCTCGGGCGTGACGTATGCTGTGAAGAGTCAGCACGATACACAGTCTCATTTTGACGGCGGCCATACTTGACTGTCCGAACTTAGCGACAGAGGCTTCCGCCTCGTGACTGTCGTACAGCGTCCACGCATTGATGTTTACCGATGCCTCGGTCTCCTTTTGCCTGAAAGGATCATCGTGTTTTGTAATGTCCAGCCCGCTGAAGACGAAGACGGGTTCGATGTCGAAGCTGCGGAATTGGGCGAGATCGTCCTCAATGTGTTGTGTCAGGGCCAGCGGAAGGCCTCCCAGCGCAGGCACAAGCGGCTCCTTTGCGCGCGGGTGATTGAGGATCCGCTGGTTCAGATATTCGGCGGCTTCGATGCCTACGCGGCAATTGCGCAGTTGTTCGAGCTCGCCCGTTTCGCCTAGTGTGGCCGTCCATTGTACGAAGTCGCGGATCATGGTGCCAGTCGCGTGGTGGGGCTGTTTGAAAGTGATGGGAATGAGGGATTGATAATGAACGGAGACGATGGCAGTAAAGTCTCGAGTAATAGTAAGAGATTCGCCTGGCGTGATTACTGTATGTAGCGACGACGTGTGGTAAAGTTGTAGAGGGTTGCGGGGGTGTGGACTGTAAATTGGAAGCTCCGATGCAGCTCCACGCCTTGGCAACCACACGATCCCTGATCAGCCGGGCGCTAGCTCAGGTACAGCGTCTAGCCGTACGAGGGAACGCAATCGCGCCGAGTAGAGGGATGAATGACGGGTAGGCGCAGAATTGAGGTGATCTGCTTCCGTAGATCCACTGCACCTGAATTCGAACGTGGCTTCTCTGTTGCTTTCTTAGTGCCTAATCGCGTCTCACGTCGCACCTCTGCCCCTCACCTAGCGTTACTCCAGGCTTTCACGCGTCACATCTCACTCTCTCTCCAAATGGCTAGTTCAGGACACCACTCGGAAGCCATACCGGTTATTGATATCTCAACTCCTTCCGAAGACGTCGCTCGGCAAGTGCTGGTCGCGGCTGCCACACATGGCTTCCTCTACATTAAGAACGATGGTGTGACCATCCCGCCCCAGGACATCGATGACATGTTCAAGTTGGTATGATGTGTCGATTGTCCAAAACTAAACTTGTTGATTGATGAGAACAGTCTAAGGAGTTTTTCGCCGCTCCCAAAGAGCAGAAATCTGAATACGCGATCCACTCTGATAAAGCAGGGGGCATAAATCGCGGCTGGGTTCAGATGCAAGGCGAATCTCTGGATCCTGAAGGTCAAAAGGTAATTGCCAAAAGAACAATTGAAAGAACTACCTGTTGACGAAATGAATAATAGCAAGGTGATCCAAAAGAAGCCTTCAATATCGGGCCACCAACCCCAACCCTCCAGCCCCTTCCATCACCTCTACAGGAATCCTCCAAGTTGATTACCCGCTTCCAACATTCCTGCCACACCCTATGCACCCAAATCCTCTCTCTCCTCAACACTGCCCTCCAGATTCCCGACCCCAAGTACTTCAGCACGCGACACGACCAATCTCTCGGCCCATCCGGCACCATTTTCCGCATGCTCTACTACCCATCGACCCTCTCCCAAGGAAAATACTCCAAGCAAGGTGAAACCAGTATCCGCGCAGGAGCACATTCAGACTACGGCAGTCTAACTCTCTTGTTCCGTCTTCCGGGCCAGCCCGGCCTCGAACTGTCTACGCCTTCAGGGTGGAAGGCAGTGCCGGTGAGCCCATCACCATCGTCATCACCTCCAATCCTGGTCAACATAGGAGATTTACTGTGCTATTGGACAAATGGCATGCTGAAATCGACAGTCCACCGGGTTACATTCGAGGGTGGACAGGAGAGATACAGTATGGCGTACTTCTGCCACCCGCTAGATGAAGCAAGGTTGGACGCCGTACCCAGTCCTGTGATCGAGCAGTTTGGCAACAAGGGAGAGGATGAGCTGAGAAGCCAAAGAAAGAGACTAGGGTTGAGAGAAGATGGGCTCGGAGAGGAGGTGATAACAGCCAAAGGGCATTTGGAGAGACGACTGAAGGTGACATACGGGATATGATGAAATCAGATTCAACCGACAAAAGGTATTACTATCAAACGCCTGCGCTATGCTCCCTTGTTACTTCAAAGAACACCTCGCTATGCTTTGCGCCATCCCATGCAGACAAACCAAGATAACTTCCTCGCACATACACCACTTACATCATGACTGTACAAGACGAGGGTCTTCTTCACCCTCGCCTCTTCCTACCCGCCCTTCCCGTAGTATTCCCTCCAACGTCTTTTACGACGCCAATTCCTTCCACTGCCACGCTCTTCTCCTGCATAGTCCCACCCAACTTCTTGATCATCTGCTCCCTCGCTTTCGCAGCACCAGGAGAATCCCAACCTAGCTCCTGGCTAGGCTGGTATTCCTCCACCAGAACCGTGTTCTCCTCTTCTTCCTCTTCTCCAGCCAGAATGTTCCCGGAGCTATCACCCGCTGACGCGTTCGACCGCGTGGACGTTGCGCGACCAAGCTGCCGCCTCTTCCGCGTCTTGCCAGGTGCCTGATCGACGGACGTTGGCACGGTCTTGCGGTTTGCGCGCATCTGAGCTAAGATTGAAGAGTAATCTTTTTCTTCTTCCGGTCCTTTTGCCTTTATTGTTTCCTTTTCTTTTGGTGCTTCCTGTGGTACCGGTTCGGTATCCGCCGGGATCACGGAGTCGGGTTCAGGAACAGGAACGACCGGATCTTGGATCTGACCAGCCTTGGACTTGCGGGGTGCCGGGGCTATGAGAGACTCGGCCGATGAACTCCTGGGTCGTGAGAACGATTTTGAGGCATGCGGGGACGTTGATGGGCGGCGCGGGGAGTTGGCGCTGGTTTCTTGGAGGGGGTGGGAACCTGCGCCATCCAATCCAGGTATGACAGACTCATCGTCATCGTAATTTAGGCCGTTAGTATCATTGTTGGAAGTATCCGCCTCATCTGTAGTTGATGCAGGCGTTGCATCTGCTGGTGCAGTGAGAGCAAGAGTACCACGCTGCTGTGGGTGCAGAGACGTTTTCACGGCATTGGTAGGCTGTTGCTTTTTCTGACGAAGCTCAAGGCTCTCTTCCGTGGACAACAGTGCAGTGGGCACACCATCCTGTGGTTGAGGCCTCTGTTTAGGCTTCTGTGGCTGAGGCGGCGCTGGCTTGTTCAATTGATACTCGGCATACGACTGTAGCCGACCACTACGCAGACAATCCCAAAGCCATGTGGCATGAACAGCGGGTATCCGTTTGTCCGTGGCGAATTTGAGTTTCGGTGTGTTTATGGTAGGAGGGTTGCAGATCACAACCGAGGTCTTCGCCGATAGCTGTTCATCGTACGAGGCACCTGTCAAAATTGTCAGACGATTTCCAATGGAGGCGGAGCTGATCCCGTACCCATAAGCGTGACAACTTTGGTCACATGCAGTAACTCGATGCCGCAAAAGCCCGTAGAGTTGATGGTGAGTCCAGAAAACCCTGGCTACGTCAGCGACCAATAAAACAACCGTGGAGCATGAGCTTACCACTGATACTAAGCTTTTCGAATGGTCGACTTAACACATCGTCCGATGGATCTACTAGACGTTTGCCATACAGGCAGCGCTCGACCCACCAGTTAGTGGCCAGGTTCATGTGTTCTCCGGCACGCCCCGGAAGTGCCGCCGAATCGACCTCGACGTCATGGGGTATTACGAAGTAGCCTCGTCTTAGATCGTCGGATGGCGCATTGTTGAGATCGGTCGCATGGATTACGTGCGCGCCGTTGCTCTCGAGGTGTTGGCGCAAAATGCTTGTCTAGCGGGAACGTCAGCTAGGGCTGAAATGTAAGATGGTATGACAAACCTTCTCTGCATCAAAGCCATGCGTGCATACGAGTCGTCCTTGAAAGATGCCATCATGTTGGGACACATCGTTCGTATGTGGTGGCAATGATGGTTCATGACTGTCTGCATTGTCATCAAGGTGCGCCTCGATAAGCGAATCATTCTCATGGACGGATGCATGTCTGTGAGGGGACGCTGGGGTATGTGTGCGAGTGCTTGTCCGCGTACTATCTGGCTTAGTAACGATTTCCTCTGTCCATTCATCCTCATCAATCGGTCGTTCGAAACTGGGCGCTGTGATGCCCGCCCAAAAGGCATCACTTTGGCTGCCAACCTTGGTGCTTGCTGAGCGACGTAGCTTCCTGCGAAAAGGATTCAGGGCCTGGCTCGGCTCTGCATCTCGCGTGCGTTTGCCTATGGCGGGCGACGCGGGCAGTTTGCGATCCCAAGCACCTTGGCCGCGCTCTTCGACAGGCATGGTGGGGTTGTAGAGGGCTTCGTCCAGCACCATGCCCCTCTCCAGACTTTGTTCGAGCCATTCCAGCGACACAATCTTCATCCTCCAATTCAGGGCGTGTTCGTACTTCTTGCCCGATGGCGCGGCTGCGATGAGGTGGGTGACTGACTTGGTGAGGTCGCCGTGGTACTCGGCTCCGTTGGCGTCCACTGATTCCTGAATGGTCTTTCGTTGATCGGCTGTAGTAGTCAGCATCGTCGTATGCACTTAAGAGTGGCGACGTACGATTGTCGAAGCCCGTGAGGCATATCTTCAGCCCAGCGAGGGTCGGCATGCGGTACTCCTTTTCCAGCGCGGCCATGTCCAGGTCGTCATCGCCGGTCATCCACACCTCCCTCAATGCTTCGAGCCATTCCGGGGAAAGGACTTTGACGTCCTCGCGAGACTTGGCGACATAGCGGTATTTGGCGCTGTCGGTGCTGCCGACGATGAGGTGGGTTACGTCTGATGTGAGGTCAAGCTTGATGGTCGCGCCCATCTGCGCGCCAATAGCTGCGAGTTTGGCCTATATGGTCATTAGAGGCAGCGAGACATCAGCATCTAGAGTAAACGTACGCGCTGCTCGGGGGCAATAGAGGTGCAACAGAGGATGGCCCCAGCCAGGGGCAATTGGCCTGCTCCTGCATCATGTGAGCATGTGTATGATGATAATGATACCCTATGTCCTACCATAGCCTCCATCATGCGCATCCATTACTTGCAAAGTCGCGGTGTCGTATGCTTACGCCGAGCGAAGCGCGTCTGAGCTAAGCCCTGCTCTTCGCCAGACGCGTTGCGGGGAAGCCAGCGTGGTCACGTGGTGCCGCCTCACGCTCGCCATTCCTTCCGCACTGCCCGCCCTGCCGTGTCCGCTCCTCAACCCTCCCCCAGATGCCGCCGAATCTCGCACATGCCACGAAAAAAAAAGCTTTCCACCCCACTGCCGAGGATCCACCGCAGCCAGAATGACGACTGCTTCGTTCCTGGCCTCGAACTTGAGGGCGGCTGAGTTGGCAGCCCGCCCTGTTCTTTGCGCCGATCTGCCCACTCACGTTTGCTGTAACTCCAGATTCAGAACCCCAGGCGCTGATCACTACGCGATTGGGCCGTCAGGTTTCTTTTCGGCGATCGTGGGAGGTGACGCCCTGTTTATGTGGTTGTTCTGATGCACCATGGCACAAGATACCCGGGCATGATCTATCATCTGTTCGATAGTTCCAAAACAAGGAAGACGAACTCTCCGCCCATGCGCTGGCGGAGCATCGCTTGGTCTGTCGCGAGATTGCGCGTTGCCCATGCCCAGCGTGGCTCTGCCACCTTGGAGTCTAAGCGATGCCATATCCTGTCAGCTATCATGGGCGCGTGCTCGCATACATACTGTAATCAGTGCCTGTCGGGGCTTTGCCATCCGTGCGTGCGTAGTGGCAGGATGAAGCATGCCTTGTCGTCGTCGATCAAGGCAACGTGCCGGGTATGCCGTAGTCGGTCGCTAGCCGCCAACGGGTCTAGAAGCAGCCTGAGCAGATGCCCATTGAGATCTGACCCCTGCATCGAGTCTTGCAGACTCTTGGTGCTCAGCATGATGTAATGCATCCGAGCCTCCGTCCGCGCAAGCTACTGCTGCGCTGCCATGCCGCTCCTAGTAACGCCTAGCACGCTCATATACCCGCTGCGGGAATATCCTGCCCTGATGCGCTGCTTGCACGCCCTCACGACCATTCTTTACCCCATCCGGGTACCCACTGATATACCTCTGCTAGAGCAGTAGCAGCCCATCTCAAATTCATCATCCTAGCTGCTGCGACCCCGCCGACCAGCAGCGCTGCACACCGTCCACCGTCCGCGTCATCCGTCTGTTCCCTGCAAACTCGACGCTCGACGCTCGACGCTCGACGCCGGTACACTTTCGCCGTCCCTGCACTGCCCTAGTCTGACATGCTCGCGTCCTCGTAACATGCCTGCTCGCTGGCTAGCTGCAACTCACTTCAAAACACCCGCGAGTTCCTGTTATTCGCCGTTGTTGTCCTGGCAAGAAACTCCTCTCCGTCGCCAGCGCAAACCCTCGCTCCAGGGTATTCCCGCACGCTTCCGACGCACCGGCGACTTCACCGCTCCACTACCCTACAGTGGCCTGTCGTGCTGATCGCATTTACACATCATTAACTAGGTAGCCTCACCCACGCCTTTGGATACCCTGTCTCTGCTCGTGAGTCCTTGTCTCATCTCCCCCTTCACCGCGTTCGGGCCCTTTGTCCTAGTAGCGCCCAACCTCAACGTCCCTTCCCAAAGCATCCATATGGAACCTGCTTGGGTTACCGTGGTCAAGAAGCCTTTGTACCCCTCTCATGACTCTGAGGTGTTGCACAAGCCAAATTCTTCTCTGCTTCCTGAATTACACCTCGTATAAGACACAACACGCCGCATGCCTTGTCACCACACCTTGATCCTGTCCTCCACCTCCACTTCAAGTCACTAACGCATCGTCGCTATGCCAGAGTACCACACCGTCTACTCTGAACGTGGCCGATTACGATATCTACCCGACCACTTAGACACTCCCAAGAAAACCTACCGCGGCATCTTTGCTGGCCGCAATCGCAGACCGCACCGCATTCACATCGCACACGTCGGTCCTGATCCGACTTTATTTCGCAGCCAGAGGCGTCAGACGACTAGTCAGTCGTACTTCACAGAAAAGCTGGCGGCCCCACGCGACGGCGCTAAACGTTTCCTACGGTCGTTTATCGACACCCACTTTTCCACCAAGCCCGAAACTACAGACATACCTACCCCTCAATCGTCGACGACTCCTACTAGCAGCAACCGCAACTCGGTTGCCTCTGTTCCTGAACCACGCACCGCCGACATGCGGTCGCTCACGAGGAATTCTGGCAGCGGCGCAGTAGGCGCAATCGGAGGCACATTGGCTGCAGCAGGCATGCCGAGACCATCAGTCGCCGAGTCACATTGGTCTTCCGGTCGTGCATCTGCAAAGAGCATAATCTCCAATGTCAAGAGCCTGCCAGAAGAGAAGCCGGTGGCGTCAGGTGGCGGCGTCAGTGTGAACGTGCAACTCACAGAGCCGGTTCTGTTCCTACGGGGCTTCGAGCAAGCCGAGCACGCGGAGCGAAGTACAGCTATGCTCCGTGGAACACTATGCTTAAAGATTTCGAAACCCGCGAAACTGAAGGCTGTGACGCTCAAGTTCAGGGGTAAAGCGACAACCAAGTGGCCAGAAGGTACGTTCGTTCATCGTTTTCCTTGTTCAAACTAACAGTAATTAGGCATTCCTCCAAAGAAGGTTGAATTCGAAGAGGTTGATACTCTGATGAGCCACACATGGCCATTCTTTAACTCCCAATTCCCCACTGCCGAGAACGGCACTGGTGCAGATCACGTGGAACTCTACAAGGGCTCTAACGGATTGACTGGATCGCCAAACAACTCTTCGCTGAATTTAACGACAAAAGAGGCCAAAAGACTATCGCTACAAGTCAACCAATCGCGAAGCTTCGGTAAGGGCGACACCCCTGGAGGCGGCCCCTCGGTAGCACAGAAGGGTTACAGGACCTTTAACCCCGGAGAGTACATGTACAACTTCGAGCTGCCTTTGGATAGCCACCTTCCCGAAACTATCGATGTCGACCTTGGTTCCGTCAAGTACGAGCTAGAAGCGACTGTAGAACGTGCTGGCGCCTTCCGCACAAACCTCATGGGAACAAAGGAAGTTACCCTGATCCGCGCGCCATCAGAGGGTTCACTAGAGCAGGTCGAGCCTATCGCGATCAGCCGCAGCTGGGAGGACCAATTACACTACGACATCGTCATCTCCGGCAAATCCTTCCCACTCGGCGCTCAGGTTCCTATCGCTTTCAAGCTGACCCCACTGGCGAAAGTGCAATGTCATCGTATCAAAGTGTTTGTCACGGAGAATGTGGAGTACTTCTGTAACAACAAGCGAGTGCATCGAATGGAGCCTGTCCGTAAGGTTCAGCTGTTCGAGAAACGGGCGGATGGCCCACCAACAAGTACATTCCCCGGCAGTACGATGCGGATAGTGTCTGGAGGGGGTGTCCCCTATGACCAGCGGGCAGCCGCTTCTCGAGGCGAGGATGTGCAGGTGCAAGATCCCACCAACCTACTGGGTGATCTTGGAGGAGATGCCAACATCGGGCCTACAGAGATGGAGTTCAATGTGCAACTGCCAAGCTGTCACAACCTCAAAGAGAAGGACAAGTCATCCAAGTTGCACTTCGACACCACGTACCAGAACATACAGGTGCACCATTGGATCAAGGTACGTCTAATCTTGGGTTTCATTGTCGTACACACTAACAATCGACTAGCTTGTCATGCGCCTTTCGAAACCGGACGCCACCGACCCGACTAAGAGAAGGCATTTCGAGATCTCGATCGATTCGCCCTTCCATATCCTTTCGTGTCAAGCTACGCAAGCCAACACAGCACTCCCAGCGTACTCGTCGCCCGAACCTGCCCTGAGCGGCACACGGGTACCCGAGTGCGGATGCCCCAATGCACCATCCCGGCGCAACTCACCAACCAGCTTTGTACCTACATTGAGCTCTTTGGGTCGCTCGAGAGGGAACTCGGACGCCGTACTACCAACACCATCACCAAATCTCACCCGCCCACAAGCAGCACACATCGGCGGGCCGAATGACTCCACGGTGCAAAGACCCATTCACCTCATGCGCGTACCCTCTTTCAACCCACCCGCATTTTCGGAAATAGAACCACCGCCTCCTCTGGAAACCCCACCTCCTCTATACGAAAGCATCGCATCGCCGACGAGTGGTCTGGCCGATTACTTCTCTCGGTTGTCTGATGCATACGATTCTGACAGCGACCCTGAGCGCAACGACCGAGCGCGCGTCGAGATCCCCCTGACGCCAGGAGGTCGCACCGCCAGGAGTATGGACGAGCGCCGAACTTGGTTGCCCGTCGGCCACTGAGCATCACCATACTCCCATGACGTCATGTGTTACGTTCTCTTTCAAGTTCATGCATATACATTTTTACTTACATTTACGACGTTTCTCTTTTCGCTTTTAGGCGGTCTGTGCATTCATTGTCTGGGAGATATAGGGAATTCCCCCGGTACCACGGTGCATTCGGAAAATTCTGCAGCGCATTTTCGTTACTGTCGCATTGCTCGCTCTCGGGCTGTTTCGCGTGTTTGGGTCAAGGGTTCGCTGGGATGTTCCTTCGCTGGACCAGGCGCTTTGTTGTTTCATGGGCACAAGCTTCATGTTAGATGGGTGGCCCTTAGGTCCCCAACTTCGCGCTTCCACATTTCCCGTAATCATCATATCTAGTCGACCATATAGGTTGTAAATATCACGACGTACATATTATTCATATCCATGACCATTTACGATGTTTGTTCCTCTGAGCTTGGTTGTCGCGTGCAAGGGGTGTTGAAGGAAATCAACCCTAACAACTATCTCGAAGCGCTGTCTCAACATATGGATTGTTACATGCGTCTATTAGAGTGATGTACAGCGCAAAAGGCAGAGCCAGGTCGCATGTCCGAAACATGAATTTATGTCAACATACAAAATCTATTTTCGTCCTCTTCAAAACTTATCTCGCATACCTTGATTCAGCTTCCATCACGGCCTTTCATTGATACACAACAACCAACTCACACGTCACGACCATCCATCTTTCACCCGTCATCC